GCACCCCTTAGCCAGCCCTAAAGGACTCATCAAACACTTTTTTTTGTTGACAAGGGATTTGGGAGAAGCATTGAGTCGCATGTTTTTCAGAACAGCAGCTTACACCACTGTGGAGAGGATTAGACGAATAAGGCACCATAGCACGTATGAGGCCTGAAAATGGATGTTCAGGAGTGACAACTGACATTTTCAGATGTCCAGGGTGACTTCAGCTTTCAGCTATGATACTGGAAAATAGTAGCTGTAGCTGGTGAAGTTCTAATCTAGACACTGACATTCTGAAGAGCTGTTACAGTTGCAAGTAGATTTTAACAAGCAGGCACTCTGACAGGCAGAGCTCCTTTGATTTTTAATGCATATGTACATAATAAATATACTGACCTACTGGATGAACTGAATCAGTATTACCCATAAATACAACTGGTTGATTATATTAATTTGAAAGACCACAGTAATGTAGTCTGGAAATTGGTTGGAGCTTTGTATCCAGTCCTGTACAGTACCGACTTAGGGTCTGGCAAAAACGTGACAGTAGGGAAAATGCTCTGAGTTTGTATCATCGAAGGAAATTATCCACCATAACTGCATCATTTTAACCATTCTGGATTGGCAGAGAATGTTAGAAAGATGAGCAAATGGCCACTTTAAAAAACTTACTAAACTATGAACGCACAGTAAGAAAGGCAACAAACAGTTTATAGTACAACTCCACTCACTAAATTTAACCTTCTATAAGTCAGGCTACAAAACATTTAAATATCTGACAAAGTTCCAACGGTTTTACCTGGATGACAGTTGCTGCATAATTTTCAATGCTCCTGTTACTATAGAAAGGTCCTGACTCTGGCTTTCCTCCATCTCCTCCTCTTATCGGTCCCTTCTCAGCTGCAGGGGGGCTGCTGATGTTCCCACATTTCTGTCTGTATTCCCTCCACCGCTGCTGAATCAAGACTGCTGCTTTGCTGCTTATAAAAAGGACACACACTCAGGCGAATATACACACAAAGATATGCATGATGTCATAGCACCTTTGTCTTTCAAAACAAGAATTTATTTTGGAGCAGACACCAGGAAAGCAGGACTCTGGAGAGCTTAAGCATGTCTAGAGCCAGCCTCCATATTAAAGATCTATAGCCCTTTCAAAGATAGTGCAGTGTTAATGATGAAGCTGCGTGTTAAAATGAGTGAGATTTTCAACATCTTCTGTTGTAAATAACATAAAGGACGCTCCAATGATGACAAATGCTCTACAGCAGAAACTAATAAACTCTGAGATGCTATGAAAGGCATTATTGTATAATAAAAGAGACTGTTTGCTTTAAGTCGCCAGTGTCCAGTTGTCTATCATGGTGGAATCTGGAGGCTTTGATTCCAACCATATCAACTGATCTGTTGTTGACAGGGTTGGAGGGACTAGATAAACTGAAGTGTACGTTCAATCAGACAAAACATTTGGTTAATTACTTTCTGAGGTTCAGGTTTTGATGGTTGTACCCAGCTGTCATTTCAAAATCGGAGGAAAATGTTTGTCCCTCTGTGTCCAAGGAGCGAAGGCCTGTCTCTGGAACTGTTGTAACAATGTCTAATGTGTCATGCCAACTCTCTGTAGATAACTTCTCCTCCTTGGTCCAGGAGCTGCACCTGAAATTGTCCCAGCTTGGATTGACTTTTTTATTGGACTCCATTTCTGAGTGCTGAGTCAGCATTTCAGCATTGGTACTGTCCACGTCCACTGTTTCCTCAGGCATTGTTTGACCTGCAGACGCAGTGATGTCGCCATATTCATGAGCATATCTCTGGTCCTCAGCCAGCTTCAGAGTCTCAGCGAAGTGTCGGCAGGAGCTTTCGACAGCTTCCAGAGACGACGAGGCATTACTGTGAACATACACAAAAACCATAGTGTTCTAGGCATGGATGTTCACTCTGTTTTGGATATCTGTATGGACTGTAGTAGAAGCAGAGACTCCACTTACCCAATCACACACACATTTCAGAAAATTGCACCTAGAACCTAGTCTCAATGAATCACTATCATACCTACTAAACTGTATGCAGTGACTCATGTAGACTGGTCAGAACCCCCCTTTACAACAATGTGGCCAACAAACATATTAATCACAACACGGTGGGTGAGCCATCAGCAAAATGACAATGTCAATGCACTGAAAGCATCAGTGCTGCAAGGCAAACAAATCTATACTGAATTAATAAAATATAGCATCACACTGTGCTGATCTTAACCAGTTTGACTGAGGTGCGTGCACTGAGTGTGTGTGCTTATATGTGTGTGAATGAGTTGCCTGCCTGCTCTGTGTGTGCCCCAAATCCCAAATAATGTCTCTTTCATTGAAGGGATAAACCATGAATGAAGGATAAATTGACTACAAAGCCACCTCAATGGAAACTTAATGAATCTATTAGCAATGCTTGGCTCTGCTCCCCCTTCCTGTCTTCCACCCTGAGGGACCAGAGATGCTTCAGTACCCAACCAGTGTGGAACACTAGTAGCCTTAGGTATCACAGCTTCTTCTCTCTACAAAGACCTAGCTCTTCATTCTCAGTGGGACAAGGGAGACAGGAGTCAGGAGGTCCACAAGGACTGTGACCCCTGTGACCCCTCCTCCCTGTACCTGCTGGTTCACTCCAGGGTCACTGTGAGCATGCATAAATAACATGAGTACATGAAAAGAGGTAAGCATTTCACAATGTTAAAGCTGCAGTATAAAATGTTTAGGACAAAAAATGGCAACAAAGACACATATTGAGTATTATTAACCCGTGTTTGTCAGTAACTTTATGTGTACATACCACTTTCCCCATCGGTCACTTGTCTTTTCAGTAACATTTCGGGACATTTATGGACTACAGCATTTACTCTGACCATGCCAGCAGAGGTCAGAGTTGCAGTAACTGTTGGAGAGCAGCAAAAGACTAGAGACCAGCTAAGGTCAGAGAAGGCCTGGACCAAAGTATAGTGAACTTTATGTTTTAGTTCAAACTGGATCAGCTTCTACAGCAGCGGCTTCTACAGGCCATTTATTTAAACTCTCACAATAGCTGTAATCTGATCAAGATGAATAAAATACAGTGTGGTGACATGCGAAGTAATGGCAAAAACATGCAAAATTGTAGCTTAAGCACTTGCTCAAGAGGGATTTGCTGGGTTTTCCCTCTATAATAATAATAATAATGATAGTAAGGTCTAAACCTTAATTTGTTAAGTGTCTTGAGATGACTTTTGTTGTGATTTGGCACTATACAAGTAAAATTGAATTGAATTGAATTAAAATTATAAATACCTATTTTCTTCAGGTCTCTCAGTAGAATATTCACATGCCAATGAAACAGTAAGAACAAATAACATTTTGTTAAGTAGACAAGTTTTGAAATTACTTTGGTGATATTATCCAGGGGTGTACTCGCTTCTGTTCTGTACTGTATTAGTTTGAGCTGAACTTTGACATGTACCTTGTTACATCGTAATCGTGTTAGGACAGGAGGGACAGTTTCAGCAACCAATGATTCTTTCACTATACCTATGAACATGTGAGCATTGTTTTTAAATAGAGTTGATAGAATGGCAGCAGCCCAGTAAATTCTTATGGAATGATTTGCAGAACATAACTTACAAGAAATGTCAATGTTCAGTGGCCGTGAAGGAAGCAGGGTGCCCTTTAGGTATCAAGGTCGAAAGTAAAGGTGAAGTGCGTGGGATGATGAATGGCTGTGTAGCATGTGCAACATTCATGCCTGAGAAGAGTGATTCTCCTACTGCCAGTGCCTTTATTTTTGGGTCTAAAGCATGGATACATGCAGTATCTATTATGTATTTCATGTACCCATTTCTTGCAGTTTAAAGGCTATTTCTGTTCTACTGCAATAACCATCCAACATATAATATATAGAACATAGCCAGCAGAAACATTTTACATAACTGTTTTGATTCAGACACTGGTTTTCAGCTGAATTCTTCAAAAGCTACTTATGTGTGAAAAACCAGGGCATTCTGTTAGGAACATAGTATTCAGTCTCCCCCCCTACAGTCTGTGGATAAAAGTTATGAAACGATGCCCCTGATAAAGGCTGTGGTTGGACTGGCGTGTGGCGCTCTTCTCACCTCCCCTAAACCTCAGTCTGACACAAGGTCAGGCCAGGGGTTAAATGGCTGTGTTAGTCCATGCAAAGCCCCCAGAATGGCTCATTGTCCAGAGGCCAGAGGGGTAGAGGGCACACAATGAGGGGGTGAAGCAAAGGGAGCGCCACACTGCCCCCCAAGCCACAGGAGTCCTCAGTATGACCCGTACGTGTAGCCGTCACCACGTTTCATCTTTTGTGCTCTTTAATTTGGAAAGGTCATGAAGATAAGCAGAAAGTTGACCAGTGTTTTAAGTGTTGGTGGTCCGACTATCAGTGTTCATGTGTGTGTGGAGACCAGTGACATCGAAGCACTTGTGAAAATACATGGACGCTGTCTTTAGGCTCACTACGCCCTGTGTATCAGACATAACAAGAGGATAGCTAACATTCCTGGACCTTCATATCTGTCTGTCTGGCAGGCTGGTCAGCACACATTAAAAAGTGTCATATGATATCCTTAAACAGAATTACAGCCATTTATACAGTAGTCTCAACCTGTTTAATTGACTCTATTTTTATTTTTATTTTCTGTTTATAATCTCTTTAAGGTTTCAACTCTCCTGCATGTTTTAGCTTTTCTTCTCTCTTTTCCTTATAATTACTATCGATCAAACACAGATCTCACTAGCTGCTGACCAAGCACATTTTGTTGAGGAAACCTTTAGAGAAATTGCTGCACTTCCTAGCAAACAAATGTTTTTAGGCAATTTGGTGTGGAATTAATAACTACTTAACACAGAGAATAGTGACAAGTTAAATAAAAGAGAGAGGGAGGATGTTATAAATTACATTAGAGCTACAGCGTGTGGTTGATTCATGGCCCTGATAGGACACACTGGAGCCAAACGCGAATACATAAAACTGAGCTGAGCATCTCTCGCCTTTCTTCTTTTCCATGAGTCACTTTCAAGCATTATACTGCCATTGCTTCTAAGCTGCCTCAGAAAGTCTTTAAGATATTTCACTTTACCAGCACAGATGATGCAAATCTACAGTAACAAAGCTGAAAATCACTGGTAGATACAGTTGATCCTTGAAGATAAAGCAGTAAATTCTGGGCTCACACATTCCCAACACTTTTGCTGGCCTGCTCCTCCTCGGTAAATGACAGCACACTGACAGTACATCTACAGAAGCAGTCAGTACCTGAGCTCCCTGCTGTGGCGCTCTTGTAGATCACGAGTCTGCTGAAGCTGAGCCTGACAGAATGATAGGAAGCTGACTGAAGCCAAGCCGACCTGGTGAACAGTAGGGGGCGTCAGAAAGGAGTCTGTCTCCTGGTCATCAGTGGCCCTCAGGCCAGGCAGGGCTTTCTGCAGAGTGGATCTGAAAGGACAGCAAAGTGGATTAAACATCAGTGGTCAGGACACATTTAATGGCCGTACTTTTTGTTACTACAATATCAACAAAAAGTACAGTACATGTAGATGAGAGACACAATGATTCTTTTTAATCAGAATCAGTTCACAGACATAAAAACATACAGCAGTTCATTATTTTCTGTTTTATATTTCAAGCCGATCATTTAATCACTGATACTCGCTTATTATAGCTAAAAGTGTAGCTACACAACTACATTGGATAAAAACCCTACCAAATGGCCTATGTTAGGTGGTTTCAGCCTTCAAACTGGAGGCGAGCCCTGAATGGAAAAGTCTGGGGGAGAAGCGACCACTCCCCGAGGCTAAGGATGTACAAGCGGAGGAATCCCAACTATCTGCCAGAGAAACAGACCCCGTGCATCCACCAGTGGAGCACTGGCCAAATGTGATCTGTGTTCAGTGGGAAAACGTGGAGCTAGAAACCGCACATTCTGCTGATGCCCTGTACAGCACCACTGGTCGATACACTGGGAGTGGTGCTGGTGCTTTTGCCAATGGCTGAATTGACTTTTAGTCTGCACTTTAACCATCTTTTTCTGTACATGACACATCTGCAAAATGTAAAAAAAAAAAAAAAAAAACTCAAAAAGCAAAACTGTAAAAATAAAAGCCTTTTGGCTACAAAGTCAATTTTTTTATACATTATGAACAGTTTCTCAGAACTGATTCCCAGAGCAACATGGGCTGTTAAATGTTGCCTCCCTTATCATCAGGCAAGGAAAAAACACGTGTTGAGGGGGAACCTTTCATTTGCTGGTTCAAACAGATTCATAATGTGTTTCTTTTTTAATTACTCCATGCTGTACATATACTGTAACTGTATATTATAAAATGTTTTACAAATTCAGTGGATTTTTCTCAGGATGAATTTTGTTGGATTATGTAAAACTAAGCTTAATTTTACAACAGTACTTTAATTCTGTACTAAGAAGCAGAGTGAATACACCAAAGGAAAAAAACAAAACAAAGCTGAGAGTACTCTTGGTACTTTAAGTGGTACAATATACTGATTCAAGTAGAGATTATGAACTTTTCTTTAGATTCTTATTTTAGGATTTAAAACCAGAGAAACAGTTGATACTACACAGCAACAGCATGTAGTTTTTTCCAGTGCCTACCGCCACCCTAACACGACCACAAAGGACAGGATCTGTGTAATGTCAGAGGGATACAGTTCTGATGTGCGCCACTTGGTCTCTCTGACACACATCGGGATTAGATTCCAACCCTTTGGGCATATTGTCTGGCTTCTTCAAATGAAGCACCAAATCCAAATAAGACCTTTTGATGGTTACATGAGCTTACTGAGGTGGGGAGTGTAATTTATTTCAGTAATAGAAACCTCTTAGACACACTTAGGTGAACACAGGGTAGACCTAGGAACAAAATAATAATGAATTGTTGAAGTTTTTAATAGACCATTCCCATAGAAGATTTGGAAAAACTCAGTTTTCCTTGTTTCAGAAAGACAACTCTCTCTACATTACAAAAACCTCTGCTACACTACTGTTTTCAGACATTTTTTGAAGCGTAAAGCTTTTTTTTCTACTGGGCCATTGTAAATACTGCATTTGTCAAGGTTACATTTAACCAAACAACTGAAATGGATTTTTAAAACTAAAGCAGGAGCTTCACAATTGAGATGCTGTGAATCTTCTTTTCTCCTTACAGCAATATCTACACTGATTGTACTTGGACATCAACCTTAATCTCTCCTAAATTGATATGAATTACTTCCACCATTCGGAGGGAAACACTGTTCTTGGTTCACATTCCCTCATCCTCCTTCTTCAGCCCGTATGAGCACGAGTCCATATTTCATTTAATGAAGACTTCCTCCAAAACACTGACTCTTAAACCGACCCTGATTAATCAGGCCCTGTGTTTTCTTCTTTCACAGCTGGATCAGACACAGTCTACAGCATTCGACTTTTGGCGCCTTAATTTAGCCAGTGTTATCACTGGCTCAGGATGAAAGGGCCAGGGCACGAGCGTGGAAATGCAGAGGTTTAATTCCACTGTTGGCACTGGGGGTTAGTTAAAGTTCAAATAAATATCAAGGTTATGTTAAAGTTAAGGCTTAAGACAGAAAAAAATGTTCACAAATAAACCATGCTTATGGGGATTTTTGGGGGCAGAGTAACTCACTAAACAAGGAAATCTACAAATAAAAAAATATCATTTTTATGTTCAAACTATCAGCACCACTAAACCAAATGGCCAAAAGAACATAAGGCAGGAAAATTCTGTTTGACACTCAACTCTTTTCATTTATGATGTTGTTATTTAAAATGTACAAACATATTTGGTATATTTTTCAGTTCCTAAATGAGTGTGAGCAACTCTGAGGAGCAAAATATCTTTGCAAACCTCTAACAGCTGACATTGTTTATGGCAGGCCAATAAAAGTGTGTAGAATATACAGTAAGTGGTCACTGCATATTTTTCATCCAAGTCACTGCAACTGCAATGGGAGACTATTTAGGCACTGTAAGTGAATGAGCAAACTGACACTAAGGAGATAATTGATTTTTCTCTGGTATAAATATTTTGGGAATTACAAGCACTTAATGCTTCGTATGCACACAGATGTCCGTGGCACGTTGCAGTAATCTAATAGCGGACGCGGATCACAGTGGTAATCCTGGGAAGTGGACAGGAAGGCCTGTGTTCTGGTGGAATGTTTAGACTACCTGAGCCAGTAGAATGAATCTGTGATAGAGAAACCCTGGCTTTTCACTGGTATGTTTCTCAGAACTTCATTCTCACCGAGTGATACTTCAGAGCAAAGGAATCTGAAACTGTTTTTCAGAAAGTTCTAATTATACTATCTTGATTTGGAAACTGTGTGGCAGGTTCTGCAAAGAAGAAGCCAGCCAGAAAATTACTAGGTGCATCACAATCAGGCTAACATAACAACAATCTTGTCTGATGCACCCTAAAAGCAGAAACATACAGATTAGATAACAGATTAGATCCTGGAAAACAGCAGCCCATGTAATTTGCTCCAACTCCTCCATCCAGCCTTTGTGAGGTGCACATCTTGCAGAAAGTGACATCCCTCGAGACTCTCACACACATTCTGCAGCTCTGATAGAGAGGAGGAAAAACAACTTTGCCATGTCAGTGTCTATTTTTCAGTCTATTCCTCACTTTCACCGGTGGTTATGGAGCGCTCTATCAACTGAATGAAATTAATGATGTGCTGGTGTGTGAGACATGTTCCAGAAACCTTATGCATCTTATTTCCATGGAGTCATATAGTATTAGACAGCTGCCATACAGCCAATATAAATGCAGCAGCCTCATATAAAATAGATGGAATTATAAATGTTTATGCCTAATGTTTTGGTGCATGTAAATTTATAGCTATTGCACATTCATTTATTAAGTGAAGTCAATCTGTGGCTGAGTGGGAGTAAGGAACATACAGATGGAAAGTGATGAGCACTGAAAATTGCTGAATGCTCAGTATGCAAGTGTCACATGCATCAATAACAGTCAAAATAATATAAACCTTTATTTATAGATAGCTTTTAACATTAAAGTTACAATGTGCTTCAGACAAAGAACATACTAAAATAAAAAATAGATCATTAGAGGTTTTAAATTTGTCCACATTCCATGCGTAGTACTGTAGAAGTGGATATGCTTTTGTGATGAGGAAATTGAATTTCTATAGACTGTTTTATCAAGACAACTTGTTACCTGACATGCAGTTGAATCGAAGATCCAGATTTGCAAGGGACACAAAATGAGGCATGGAGGGCAGCTGGGTGATTCTATGAACCACAGACATATTTTACTAAGTTACATTACATCTTAAGTTAAGGGTTATGTCACAGTTAAACACAAATCATTATATTATCTAACTGTTTTTTAAGTTGTCAGGGTTGTATCAGCCACTTAAAAAATTATGGCCTTTTAAGTTTTTTTAAATATCAAATTATTACATAATAGAGAAACAACAAATACTGCAGTGGGTCATATTTGGACCTTTTTTGTTTATGTCACATATTAGGCCTCAAAAAGTACATGAATACTGCTCGTACCTGTTTTGAGCCACAGAGAGGTGTTGCAGGAGGGGAAGCCAGCAGGCGGTGAGGCCCTGCAGGGAGGAGATGCTGTTGTCATCCAGATTCAGCTCTCTGAGGAGGACGTGGTTGTTCAGACTGGGGGGCTGAAGGACAAACGGGGCAGCGTTGTCATTTAACACTGGCCACGCTGAGGGGTTAGACTAACTTTACATTGCTGCTGCTGCTCGGGCAGTGACTAAATGACCCCATCCATCAATGTCAGTTGCTTTAGTCCTCCTCCTACAGCTACCAGTGTCAGCCACAAGTGAAGCTCTGCTGTGACCAAGGGTGCTTTAGGAAATACCGGCTGTATACATAATCATACCAATTACTATTGTTTATATGCATTTTATTTTCCATTTTCTTGACTTTGCCTCATTAAGCAAAAACAAGCAAGGCCATGAAACTAAGCTGTAGAATCACTGGGAAATTTGGTTCAACATGTAATGCCAAACAGCAGCTTGTGAACGGGTCACAATAATCAGATCAGCCGTGACCTGTTCAAGGTGATATTGTGAGCTCCTGAACCGTCATCCCCCTTTTGGGCTATTGATATAACACTTTCAGGTTTTTATTAGTTTGATACATATACCAGATGCCTATTTCACATGTTCTGAGTAGATAGAAACCAAATTCTGGGTATGTGATTATAAAACCACTAAAGGTTATATTCTTGTTTCTGTATCGCAATTTAAAAAAATCATCTAGTTATATAGACAAAACAAAAGATGGAAAACAATTAACACTGATTTTCTGTGGAAAATAGCTACATTCCTATATACAAATTACATCTGTATGAGACAAAACCAAAATGGCATGGTCCTAATTCAATAGAACCTGCTGAGTTGCAAGGCCTTCACCCCCTCAAACTTAATCTAATCAGTTTCTATATAGGTCTCTCAAAATAAGAACACTGAAATGTGACATCAGAACCGGTGCTTTTAGGGATCAGCTGTTCTTACCTCAGTAAGGCTGTTGGCTCTCAGGTCCAGTGTGTTGAGCAGAGGACTGTTGTCTATTCCCTCCAGGCTTGCCAGGTGGTTGTGGGAGCAGTTCAGTTGGAGGAGGGTGTAAACATCCCTCAGTCCTTTGGTGCTGATCAGCTGGTTGTGATCCACTGACAACCTCTGCAGTCTCCTCAATGACTCCAGACCAGCTAGAGATGAGTGAAGACACTGGCTCAGACTGGAAAACAACTCAAGATGAGTCTGCAGATAAGCAAAACTAAACAAAGCATAAGCAGGTCTAAAAACTAAATCTGAAACGAGACAGCCCAAAAGCCCCTTGATTCGGTTTTAGAGGTGAGTCACAACAATATGTTACAGTAGCCGAATGTATAATTCGATGCATTTAACCTCTTGAGTGGCCAAAGTCTATTTATGACTTTAACCCCATGACTCAAGGCTCAGGCTGACTTTTTAGTGCATATTGCAGAAAGGTCAATGAAGTCCAGGGCTGAAAAGAAGACAAGTGCTGCCCTCTTGTGGAGTACTGCATAACTTGTCAAACTTCCCATCTGCTCAAGAAGGTCTACACCTTTTGGATATACCAGATGATGGGGTTGGGACTGTACAAAGCACAGATAAAAACAAGACATCTGAGAAATCTTAAGTTGCTACATACACATTACAAGAACAGTTGTTCCTCTTTTATCTGTTATTTATCTTTTTACAATAAATATTCAAAGTATATTGACTTGTACAGTTCGCACCAATACGGGTGATGGCGTTGTGTGAGAGGTCGAGAACGTCCAAATTGTCGGCACCACTTAAACCATGGATGGACGTCAGCTTGTTGTGGCCAAGTCGAAGCACCCGTAGACCGGTCATATTTTCACAGTCCACAAATGAAATGTCATTGTCCTAAGGCCAAACAAATGTAACATGATGTGCTTTTGAAAAACATGAAAAATGTCAGCAGTAATTAATTCCACTGATTGAATATGTACCTGTACATCGATGTAGCAGAGCACTGGTAACTGCTTGATGCCCTCCAGTGATCTAAGGCCACAGCGTCTGAGAGTAAGAGACCGAAGCTGAGTACACTGGACAAGAGTGGATAAGTTACAGCCAGGCAAGTCCTCCAGTGTCACTGAGGTCACCTGAAAGACAAGCATTTGTTTGGTTTAATCATTTTACTGAGGTACTGCTGTGGTGTATTAAATATGGACTAATGGACTAGCGAGTAGTTAGCAATTATAGTAATGAATACTTCTGTTTATTCAACATTATCTGACATGTTAGTTGTCAAACAACTTCATCCTTCAACAACAGGACTGTGGATGTGTCTGTACCATGCCGTGGCTGAGAAGTAGTGCAGGTTACCTCTTGCAGGGATTTCCAACCAGTAGCCTGAAGCAGAGTGTGTGGGGAGAGAGATGGCAGACCATCAGCCTCTGCAGCCCTCCTCAGCCCTCTTCGACTGCAGACGCAACTTTTCTGCCTCCTCCTGCTCTGCAGGGACAGTCTGGACCAAGGGATACAGTCTTTCATCCACGACAGCCTCTTCTGCTCCGTGTGCTCTGGGAGGCACACGGGTAAAGAGCCAAAAGAGGTGCAAGGCTTTTCTGCTGCGTCTTGTTTGTCCATAGATTTATATGTGGAGACCTCACTAATGTTCTCATCTAGGTCATGTTGCTGCACAGTTCCAGAGCTGGTGGGACTGGCTGTGGACTCAGCATGTAAAGGACCAGGGGTGGCTTTGTCTTCCAGGTGTGAGGTCAGGGAGTGCCCAGTGCTATCTGTCCTCTTTCTCTCATTTAGAGTTTTCATACTGCTACTTTCTCTTTTCTTCTCTTGCAGCTCACTTGCTCTTCTCAGCCCCTCTTCATTTTTAGTACCCTGCACCATGATGTTTTTGCTTTCCTCCTCTTCTTTCAATCTTCTTTCTTCTTTGTTTTCTCTCACTTCTTCCTTAATCTGCCTCTTGTCTGCCTCTATGTTTATTCCCACATCCTCCCTCTTTCTCATACAATTGTTACTAACCTTAGTCTTCTCTTCTTCCTGCCCCCTCTCTTTATCCTTTGTTTGTTTTTCATGTTCCACTTTTTGGTTCTCCGCTTCATGCGCTTTATTCCCCTCCTCTTCCTTGAGTCTTGCTTCTGCCATTTTTTTGCATCGCTCTTCTTCACTCTGTCTCATTTCTTCCTTTTGTCTTTTCGTCTGCTCTTCCTCTTTTATTTTTTTTTCCTCTTCTTTCCTTATCATATCTTTATCTTCCCTACTAAGTCTCCTCTCCACATGATTCCTTCTCCTTTCTTTATCTTCCTTGAGTTGCAGTTCATCTTCTGTTTTTTGATTTTCTTCTTTATTTCTTCTCACCTGTTCATCCATCATCTTTTCTACTTTTCTTCTTTCCTCCTCACTTTTTTTCTGATCTGCCTTTTTCGTCATCTTCTCCTGTAATGTCCTCACCTTAATCTCCTTAGTTATCCTCAGTTCTTGCTCTCTTCTCTTCTCTTCCTCTTCCCATTCATCTTCAAATGTCACTTCTTCATGTTTGCTCTTTTTGTTTCCCTCCATTTCTCCTTTGCTTGTTTCCTCCTCTCTTTCCTCATTCATTGCCTTCTCCTTTATATTATCCTCCTTTTTCTTCTTTTTCCTCTCTTCCTCTTCCATCTCTCCCTCCTTCTTCCTCATCTGTTCCTCTATCTTGTTATTGTCTTCTTCACTTTTCCTCTTTTCAGCCCTCTCCTCTCTCCTCTGTTCCTCTTCCTCCTCCTTTTTCCAAGGCTCCTCTTCCTTGTTTCTTCTCTCCACCTCTTCTTTAAGTCTGACTTCTTTGATTTTTGTAATCTCTTCCTTCATCCTTTCCTTTTCCATCTCTCTCTCAATTTTCTCCTCCACCCATTTCCTACCATTCTTCTCCTCTCTCTTCTTCTCCTCTTCCTCCGCCTTCTTTTTTTTCTCCTCCTCTTCCTTTATCCTCATCTGCTCCTCTTTGCTCATCCTTCTCTCTTCCTCCACTTGTTTCTGCAAGTTGCTAATCCGCTCCTGATTGGTAAAGTTAAAAGGTAAAGACTGGTAAACTATAGTGCCTTAATTTCATTGAGACATGATAGTACATAAAACAAACCGCATGCAAACTACAAACAACCCAAAAACTATTCACCTCAAGCAGTTTAGTGAGCTATGACGACTAAGTATAGACTATATTACTGTAATCTAGTATCTGAAGTCAGTGACTCTAATTTGTAAATTCAAAAGTCCGCCAAAAAGGACTTGTGTTCCTCCACATACTCTCACTGTGGAGCCTCTCAGAAGATGAAATATTGATTATTACTAACTTACTAACATGTCAGAGTGTTTATGCCCACAGCTGAAGGCCCTTCCTTAGGTTGCACACCTAGTTAAAGAGAAAAACTCTGATCTCGTACCTGCTGAAGCAGCAACTGCTGTTGAAGTTTTTCCTGCGCTCTCTTCTCCAACAACTCAATCTCCTTCTGATGAAGCTGGAAGAAGGAAACAAAAATAAGAAATAAATGTGACTCATGGTATTTATTACAACAGGGGTAAGATGATTTAAAATATAAATTCAGAACAGCACTAAGTTGGTTCAAATCTTATTTATCAGGAAGATTCCAATTTGTTCATGTTAATGATGAATCTTCTGCACAGGCTGAAGTTAGTTATGGCATTCCAAAGGGCTCCTCTCCTCTTCCTCCATTCACTTATATGCCATATTACATGTCACTAACTGTGTCTCCTCTCTCTCTCCCTGTACCTTTCTGCAGGTTGCCCTGGCTCTAGAGCTCTGTGTTTCTGATGAGCAGTGACTGTCCACATCAACCTGCTCAGTGTTTGATTGTTTGTTGTGTCCTGTTGCTTTTCTTTTCTTCTCTCTCTCAGACTTCCACATTCATCTTGTTGTCCTTATTAATAAAATACAGGAGTAAATTCGTTCACTCTTTTAACTGCCCTCTCCCACTGCAGCATAGCATCTCTTGAAATATCCTGGTTAATATTTTGTTCAATGACACTTCAGCAGGGTAGATGCATCCTTGGGTTATCTGTCTCCCTAAGAAACACAATCTCATTTTGCATTACTATAGCACTTCCTTTTTTTTAATTAGGATGTAAAGATGGTCAGCAGCAATAAATGATTACATACTGTATTTGCTCACCTGAAATATAGTAGTTTGCAAAAAGAACGTCAATCATATTAAGTTAATTATATTATTCATTCATACATTTATTATATACATCTAATATAACATTTATAAAACATGTAAAAATCAGCTACAGTTCTTTCAGATTCAGTCCATGTTCTCATTACTTATAGCGCACAGACCATAGCAACAACACCTTGATGGATGGGTTGATCCACAGACAAATCTCTCCCGAACCAGCTGTATTCCATTAACAGTTATCTGGACAAGAGTCCATGTTGAGTAAGAGAGGTCCTGAGAGACTCACCTTCTCTGCTTCCATGATCTTCTTCAGATCTTCCTGAAAGTCTTTTTCTCTTTGTCTCTGTTGCTCCTGTTTCTTCACCTCCTCACACTGTTGTTTCTCTCTGCGTTCTCTGTGGAATTTACCACTTTCCTTTACCTCCACTTCTTTCAGTGAGCTCTTAAGGATCCTGACTTTGCATGCCAAATGCGTCTCACTCTTCATATATTTATCTGTTTCAGCCTCATCTGTGATAAGTACAAATCACACTAGTCATTAATGAGAACAAAGAACAGGACAACAGTGCTCTCTTGTGGATAACAGTTCTATTACAAAAGATGTGTCAGTGCATATCAGACCACCAGCAAGGATTCATCACTGTAAACAAGAAGGAACAGAAAGAGAAGAGATGGACTCTAGCATCACAAAAGTTGGTGCCTCCAACTGGGAAATATGCACATAAAAAATATGATTTAAAAAGTACTACTTATCACTCTAGTCTCCCTTGAAATAAAGTCAGGTTTTATCATGTGTTTTTTCAGTTTATGAAATATCCACAGAGACAAATGTCTTGCATGTTGTGCCAGTGGAATGCATCAAACATTTTCCTGTTATACTTGTTTATACATGTGCTGTACCTTCATTGTTGAGACATGCTGCCACATTGTGAGTGAAAAGTGCTTCTCTCTCTGTGGGTGCAGGAAGAAGGCTGGTATCAGTGGAAGTGTTGTTCTCCTCATTTTCTGTTTCACTAATAATCTGTATCAGACAAAACATTCATTTGGTAGTTGTTTGACACAACCTGACCTGTTGTATGGGACCTATTGTATTTTTGGATGGGTCATACATAGATTGTGAAGAGAAATTTACCTGCTCATTCAGGTTCATCGTATCTTTTTCGAGTCCAAAAGGCAGGTCCATTATGTCTTCAGTGAAGTCTGGGATTCAATTCCAAAAAAAGACAGACAATATAATTTAAGCCACCTTGATGGATTCAGTGTGTTTTACTTTATTGTAAATGTCTAGAAGTACAGATGACATGTTAACATTCTGTAAATACAGAAGCTAAACCGATGTTGTTTTTATCACAGGAAAGCAGAGATATCTGGAATCATAAAGATGGGGCATGATGTTCATAAAATTCAACATATTACCATACCTTCAGGTTCTTGGAGAATAAGCTTCTCACAAACTGCTGCTCTGCTTTTTGAGGCTTCAAAGTAGCGGAGTAGAGATGGTGGAATATCATCTGTGGCCTATTGCAAGAAAGACAAGTTTAATGTGAGCCTGGTCATCACATGAGTGTTAATGTGTAGTCTGTCATTTTAGAAGATTTCCATCTACAAAAACCGCATAACAGGTTTATAAACTATGTTTCTGAAGACAAAGTAAGGCAAGAACTTATGACTGACTGAATACCAATATTTGGTCAGTGTGATAAACACAGTAATTAAACTTGTGGTGGGTCAGCCTATATTATGGGCAGCTCTCCACCCCCTGTTGTCCTTAATCCATTCTTAATAATGCCACTAATCCTGATTGTGGTCCAAGGGGTTACTCCTCAGATGTGTGTTTTAGTATAGTTACTGCATCCAAATTAATTTGCACAATTTTCTTAATGGTATAAATACATAGGCTATAAAATGTGTAAGTTAAGACATGGTAAGTGCCAGTCATGAGCATGAGTAACGACCGTATATGTAGGCTACTTTCTGTGTTGTTTTGCGCACCTGTGAAATGTGACGCAGCCAGGTGAAACTAAAGGATTAGTACATATAAGATAATAAAATATTATATAAGATAATAATAATAACAAATCATACAGTGGAAATGTATGTTAGTATCCACGACACAAGCTGGCAATAAAAAGTGAACAGCAGCTCATAGCTGATTCTTGCTAACTGTAAACACCACTTGTCCAAGTTCATTTAACCGACTTATTTCAGTGGGAGCACACAGACTTACCGCTTCACCGTGAAATGAAAAACTCTCCTGTTCATCTTTAGTTTTATTAGTATCAGAGTTGAACATATTATTCAGTTCCTGCATTTCGTATACCTCATCAACATCCGTCATGGTTTCAATCGTCAGCGACTTGTTGGCAATTCACGTTATCGTTTACATTCATTTGCCACCATTTATTGTCAGAAAGTTGTTTATGCTATTATTGCCAGCAAATACCCGGACTTGCTGTTCGTCCGAATAATATACTTCAGCACGTTAAAGCTAATTCAACGTTAGCTAGTATATAGAGAAAGTGGAAAAGATCACTTCGCATTTATAGCGACTTCGGTCTCCATGGAAACGACGCAGTGACTTACGGTACTTCGCAAAGGACAAACAGTGCAAAAAAGGCAAAGGGTAATTCTAATAATTCTGTCTTACAGGCGTCCCATTTAGCAATACTTATGTCTTTTAAATTATGGCCCTTTATTTTACCCGTATTATTATTATTATCTTACATATTATTTTAGATAGGCTTTGTATTCACAACTATATAGAAATGTAATACTGAATGTAAATGAGGTAGATTGTATCTATTAGGTCAAGGTTAAAGGTCAAAGTGTTTATCTGTCATATGTACATTTAGGAAACGTGTTTCCCTGTACAATGAAATTCTTACTTTGCTGTCCACATGAATGCCACACAATACAAGTGAAATATAAAGTAGATGAGCAATAACACAAATCTACATAGGCAGTAACACAAATTTAAGGCACTTTAAAGCAGCAGGTGAAGGAAGCAAATAAAAATACAACAAGAACACAATATAATGAAGAGAGAATTTATGTTAGGTGGGAGCCATGGAGTGCAAATATTCAGCAGTGAGTGTGTAATTATGCATGTGCAAAATGAGTATGTAAACCTGTATGTATGTATGTATGTATTGGGTTCAAAATGTTTGTTAGAGTAAGAATACTTGGTTAAAAGTTAAAACAATACCATATTTGTATTGGTGCAAAAAGCAATCTGAACAGCAGAGCTGTTTGGATGCAGGTCCTCTTTGTGAAAATAAGACTGGACTCATGAACTTGTGTGGGCATTTTGGGCAGTCAGCTGAAGGGGTCCTTGTAGGTGAATCACAGGATCAGAAGAACAAAAAAAGCTGTTAGACTGTAAACAATGTGCACTTTTTTCCATGGCATTTTTGATCACAAAGCCCAATTCCTGTCTCCCATGGTGAAGGCTCTGCACTTGTGCTGCACTCTTTGAAGAGATGCCAGTGGCCCACACAGATTTCCCATACACATTCCCAAGAACCTTCTAAAGGGAACCCAGTCCTCTTCCGCAAAGTGTGTCCTCCATCCCCAAATGTTTGGCCCCAGAGACACACTAAGGTCTGTTCTCGTGAAGCTCTAGATCAGACTAGATAATTTTTCCTTTTAAAGACCAAAACTGAATTTCACAATGACAATGAAAGGCATATCTATATCTATAACACTTAAGTTGGTATGTGACCCCAACAAGGTCAACACTATCAGAATCTTCACAGGTGTGGTACAGTCATGCTTTCATCAAGGTCATTATGGGTTATAGCACAACTTCAGCCCTAAGGCTGACAGACAGAAACAGGACAGTTTAGTGCAGTCATTGTGATTGGAGTCAAACTGCCTGGCTCTTATGTTTCATTAGGTCTGCTAATATTCATTGACCAAGTTCAATTGCTCAAAAAGGCTCCATCAGTAAGCCTTGTCCACTCTGATTAGGGCCAGGCCCTTTGTCAGTGGGCAAGGTGACTATCGCTTTTGTCCAAGTACACGGATCCCAGACAGTGGCCAGACAGAGCCAAGCTGCAGATTTATACAGCAGATTACACCAGTCAATGGTGGCTCCAGCCCAAGCGCAGCAGCAGTTTGGACAGCAGCCTTGTGTTTACATTGTCAAGGGTTTTCTGTTACTCGTCTGTAGCCATTATCTTGGCAGCCATTGGGTCCAACAAGCCTATCATTTCCATCTGGAGGCTTGGATGAATGAAGGTATTAGAGGGAAACATCACCACTACCCCAACTATCTTTCAACTTTCTCTTACTGTGGATTCTGAATGTAAAGGTTACAAGCCAAAGATGTAATAATTATGCATAAAATTAATTTGTAAATTGTTTGCCGATGGGGTTAACACAATAGCTCTATCATCATTATCATCATCATGCATATAAGTAATCACAGCAAACCTAAAATAAAAAATGGAGGATTCTTCTCAAGCCAGATATTGACTCATGTGAGTAAGGCAATTTATGTGTATGTCGACCTGATGATAGTTTAAACATACTGTGTGTGTGTGTGCATAATTTAAGCAAGTTAATCCTGCATTAATGCTGCTGTAAGCCTAATCATTCTAATGCTGCATTCTCACAGTTATGTACTGTCAAAACAAATTGTCACATCAATTTTCAAATCTATACTTGCACAACATTGGTTAAGTTCACCCAGTTCTTCTTCAACACCCTCCTAATTTAGTCACTTCTTCCCAGATTTTGTTTAGTACATTTTTAATGTGTTATTACAAAGGTTACATACACAGTGTTCCATGATTAAACCCAAATTCTGGCACATAGAGTATCTTCTTTCAAATATCTAAAAAGCACATGCTCACAACAATAATTCCCTACAGGGCTATTGACAACCAGGGGAAAAATAAAATGAGTTCTTTTGTTTACTTCACTAAAGAACCAGAACAGTATAAAGAATGCTTCAAGCTAGCTCAATATTTTGTGCTGATCCACAGACTGTGTACAGAAATCCACAGTGCAGAGGCAGAATGGACCTCAGTGAACCAAAACATCTGTTGACTCTGCCTATCATTTGCATATTTAATGCAACATTTGATTTTAACAAAACATGCAGAATAAAAATTAAATTACATTAAAAAAATTTTCTTTATTCTAGAAAAATTATTATAATTGTAGTACAATTTCACAACTCAGTTGTGAAATCTAGCTTCTTCCACCTCAGGTTGTTAACTAAAGTCAAGTCATTCCTTTCTTTTAATGATTTTGAGATTGATTTATCACTTCCCGCCGTGACTATTGCAATGGTCTATACTTAGGTGTCAATCAGTCCTCCCTGTCTTATTTTCAGATGGTTCAAAACGCTGCTGCTCGTCTTCTGACAAGTACTAGAAAATTTGAGCATATTACCTCGGTACTGGCCTCTCTCTACTGGCTTCCAATCCGTTTTGGACGGACAGACAGACAGACAGACAGACAGACAGACAGACAGACAAAGAGCTCTTTATGAGTATTCTATGACGAAGGAAATGCTTTCATCACATTTGTTTGAGCTCAAGGATGCACACTGTGCTTTTTAGTGAGTTACAATGAATGTACTGTAAACTCCAGAGGGCACCTGTAATCAAACAAAACTCTATGAAAAAGACCACATTGACCACAATGTTACTCCTTGGACCTGTGACGATAATTATCCTTAGTGCAGAAACACTGCCTCCCAGAATGACATATAGACACTGAAGTCTTAGCAGTAGTACAGCTGTAACAAAAGATGAGAGCACCAAATATGACCTGTGCCAGGACTAGGGCCAGAAGGTGCACCTACTGTGTGGTACATGGGGTGGCAGGATGTTCCCTACAGCTTTGTTATCAGCACTGCTACAAAGTAAAAGAGACAGTTTGGAACCAAAGGTCACAAAAATTCCTCGGGTAAGAGGAACATGTCCTTGAGTAACCTCCAGTCAAAACTAGAACACTTGGACTCAGACAAAACACAGTGGGAGCAGACAACATTTATCACCTTCTGGTGTTTCCCTTCTTATTTCACCCATCCAGGCTCCAGCCATCAGCACTTCTCACGACCCCACAGTATCAGATGGACTCTTATCCTCACTGGAAAAAAAAAGCATACCCAAAACTGCATCAAGGCTGTTACAGTGAACACTGCTGTCACCTCACCACTTTTGTTTTATCAAAGCAGATTGCAGCACACAGGCTTTTCTGTTTTTCAAAGCAGCTCCAAGACAGCAGCACACTTTGTTTCCTCTGGGTGAAAACAAAGCTTTTCAAGACACAGCACACACTCAAGGTATGTGAGTTAAAGAGTTTAGTGTGTAAATAGATGATCTAAATATAAAAACTGCAATCATAGGATTAGATAGAAGTTGCAGTATGGTTCCTGTCTATATGGGAGTAAGTACTGTGGAATGCACAGTCCTAAAAGTACAAACTTCATCTCCCACCATTTAACTGCCTTCCCTGGGCAGAATAAGCACTTGTGCACCTTGAATCTACTCTACCAGGGTAGCTTGTGTTGTGTATTTAAGGCCTGAATTGACTAACTCTCTATTCATTATTCATTTCAGATGAATGAGGACAATTCAGTGTTCATTCTATTCTTAGCATTTCTATTCTGAAGCTGTGTGTTCTTTATCAAACTGTTGATTCATTAATTTATGCCAGTTCTGAGTGAATTTCATTGGCTGAGAGCTTGTGTCTCAGTGACACGGTGAAAACCAACCCGCCTTAACTTTCCATCAGAGGTCTGGGAGGGGAAACCTCGTGACGGCCTGATGGCATCGTGTTGCCAAAGTCACAGTCTGTTCATGAAGAATTCAACAGGTAGACAATGTAAGCTGCCATATGTGACCAGCGTGTGTACTGTAGCATCACAAAATCAAAACAGCAGTGAGGAATGAGGAACACCAGGTACTTAAAGGTTTAAATGAATCAATCACTTATTTTATTCCTGTTCAAAACAAACTCAACCTAAAGCATTTTGGTTGTTTTGGAGAATTCAAACCTAAGTTCATGTTCATAGAATAAAGACATAAAAATGTTCTACTTCGCCACCCCAGGTTTTCTCTCAATTATTGCCTAACACCATAAATTGGGTTATAATGCCCCAGTACACACTCATCTACTAAGTTGTTACTCAAATGACCTGCTGATCCACAAGCTCCATCTGAGACAGATATGCTGTAAGAGGGTTCACTAGTTTACCAGCTGGGAAAACAATAAAAACAGACTAACACAGAACACGAGGAGGCAGAGGTTGATACTGGACTGACTGTGAGAAAAAGCTGCAGCAGATGAGAAACAAAATGTCATGAGAGAGACCTTTTGAAATAGATATAAATAGTACAATAGTGTGCATATAATATAAAAACGGGTATGTGGCAAAGGAAAGAAAATCATAGTCTTACTAGGGTGTTGTTCCACCACAAGCTGTAACTGATTCATTCATTTTCACCCTGATCAGACCATTCAGTGAACCCATGGGGGCTGTTGTGAATGGGGGCAATGCCATCCTGAAAGAAACCACTTCTATTAGTATATGTTTCATTTTAAGATAAAGGTGATAACCTTCCATGTGACATACCAGAGCCACCAGACGTCCTCACAGCACTCATGTCTGTACCATTCAGGCCACCAGTGCCTGTGTTTTATGCTTTGTCTTTGTGCCACCCTTAGAGCTTTCTTTTGCTTCAACTAGGCCTAGTCAGCATTTTTATACAGGGGAAGGGATGATATTGTTGCTTAACTGTATTGAGCAGTACACCGGTATGAATGTATCCCACGCCACACCACACAGCCATCTCCGGGTCTCTGCCTCCTGTCTCCTGCTGACACAGCCTACAACTGCAGAGTCATCTGAAAGCTTCTGCAGATGACAGCTGATTCAGAGTTGTGCTGATAGCCAGAGGTGTTCAGGGTGGAGAGGTAGTTGCTGCTGTGCTCCTGTGCTTCTGACCACCCATTCAGACAAACATCTCTGCAGTCACACAAACATGTCTGTCCGTCAGGTAATTCCAGGAGGTTGTGGAGGTGTCTATCAGCATCTTCTGGAGCTTCTCTCTCCACATGATAGGTTGGATTAGTGGTTGGACACTGCTGCCTGCTTTGTCCAGGTGAGAGACAGCTCACTGAAAAAAGACAGATGATGGCATCATCAACTCCAACCTGAGGGTGATAGGTAAACTGCAGTGGGCCAGTGTCCATAGCCTTATACACTAGATATATTACTCACCAGACAAATTGTTCTTCTTTGGCTCCATAGACTACATAGTTCAGTTTTCTGCCACTAAAGCCAATCTGCCATTGAGAAATCTTCATAATCACCTAAAACCACTGCTATCCTATTAGACAAAGCCACTGCCTGCTCTTTTCAACTGCTGCTTTGACTTGACAAATTCCCCGACCACAAAACCCTGAATCAGTCAGTTGCTATAAATCAACTGCGTTCACTACCTGGTAACTTAACCCAGGCTTGTCAGCTCTGTCACTCTCTAGTTTTGTTTTCTCTTTGACTTGTTCTTGAACCGGTGCTGACAGTCTCTGCTGTGAGGCTGAACACTACATAAACATCATCTTTCGTTTTCCATTTCCTTCTCTTATGAAACCACTGTGGTTTGTTTTCTCTGAAATGTGTATTTTTTCTTCTCTGTCTAATAAAAGCAAGTCAGTGTCATGCACCTATTTCCAAAATAATTTTTGTTTTTAACTACTGGATTGCCTTGAAGATTTCTGCAGACATTCCTG